TTATACCCGATCATAGCCTACCAGCCCTATAGCCATACAAAACCATTTAAACAGCATATGATTGGAGACTTACTTTGCTCTTGAATGCAACCAAACTCATCGTAAACTGATTGCCACTCATTGTGGTGAGTGGTCTGTGCGGTGATGTCTTCGTGTGGTCTATGTTTGGATCATTAGGTGATCGTTGAGTGCATAGAGTGTCTCACTCTCGCAGTTGTGTTGCCTTTATGTGAGTGACAGTCGACTGAGAGTCCATTCAACACAACAATTGTCTTGAAATGAGTGTACTATAAGTCGACGTAATGTCTGGCACTTCATATAACACTGCCTTTGTGTGGGCTATACGTGCATACAGTATATACGAGTTATAGTCAACCAATTAATTACTGCACAATTATTAACCTAATTATCATAACTAATCAATTGTATGCATTAACTGCTTAATTATTTTCGTATATTATGATAGTGGCCAATTTGTTAAAACACCCTGGTCCAATTTAACGTGTAGTGTTACATATATGGCGAGTGGGCTGTATGTCTAGCAAATAGCAGACACACAGTATTACGGCATTTACGTAACGCATACAAAGCTATTGTGACGTAAACTGTGTCTCAATGTCTACAATGCAATGACTCAATGCATAACACAGTGAACACACGTTCAGCACAACATCAACACAATTAGCAAATAGTGTACTCAAAAGTGTCAAATAGTGTGCCCTAAGGGTATACAGTGCTATAAATCGGTGCAAATTGTGAGCACAATACAAATCATTGATAAAAACAATCACTTTTTTGAAAGCAATAGTAATTGACGTGTGGTTTGTGTCCACAAAATACAAAAACATTTTGCAAATAAAAACTTTTAAAAACAAAAAACCTTTTGTCACGTGATTTGTGTGGACATAGACTTGACGTATGATTATCGCACACATCACCGCCAACTGATCCTAGAGTCATCACCAATCCCACGGTACCATCGAAAGGGACACACCAGTGTAGGGGAACGGTATGCCATCGACTAAAGCGTTTGTAACGTTGACTACCAGTGCTTTGGTGAGCGTCGGTGTCATATACTATGTCCACAATCAACAGCAACGGGAGAGACAGACCATGCATTTNGTAACGTTGACTACCAGTGCTTTGGTGAGCGTCGGTGTCATATACTATGTCCACAATCAACAGCAACGGGAGAGACAGACCATGCATTTGGGGGTAATTAAGGACATACAGCGGCAACACTACAAACACGTCAAGACTACCGGTGCCACCGATGACTGACACTCACACTCACCAGCGCCGCAGCCAATGATCACTTGATTGTCATTTAATTAGTCATTAATTAATAGTCTATGAAATAGTATACAGTTTTCGGCATTGAATGCAAAAATAAAATTCAAGTTTTTTTACGCCAATCGAGTCGTACGTAAATATCGTTACTTCGGTGTGAATCTGTAAAATACTGTTAACAAACAGCTATTCATTTGGTACTTTTTATTACAGAGTGTAATATTGGGTTTGTTATATGAAAAGGTACTGAAATATCGGTATAGCGTTAGTGCGTAAACAGTTTGAGCGCCAAAACGTATTCACAAGCATTGAGTCATTGAATGCAATGTTTTGCGTTTCAGTGACACAATAGTCGCAGACATTCAAAGACATAACTATCACCGCAAACGCCACCATAAGCTGATCCAAACACTCGTGTGGTGTCCACAG